TCTTACCGTTCGTGCCATAACTAGGACAAAGATTGATTATGTTACTCTACAAGGCTCAAATAAATATTTAGATATAAGTGTTTATGACTTCATAATCTCAACCATGACTTGATTCAAAGTATTCCTATATCTAGCCATAGATATAGCAGTTCGTTGCATAAGAAAACTCATAAAATTAAAAAAAAATTTTTTACCTTGATCGTTGGTTGGAAGTCAGTTGCTAGCTTGCTCGATGATGAAGGACAGTAACTTTCTTTTAAAAAGTTTACAGAAAAGTATAACTGCTCTGATACCACGCTGTGACACCCCAAACTTAAGCTTTGAGGGTCACGTACTAAACATAATAGATTCTGCCTTTTGGTACATGTAAATACTATTAAATAGAAGTATTACATATTGGAAACTTATTTTCAATTTGGTAAAATAATCCTTATAAAATTCAATAGCCGGTAGAAGTGCATGTCGACAAGAAATTATACTTTACATATACGGACTCGGCACTACCAAGGTTAGTTGGGGCAGCAAGTTTGACAATTTTTATAAAATTCATCCCAACTCCGTCTTACATGAAATTTGTGGCATTAGAAAGATAATTTCAATTAGCTATCTAGGCTAAAATATGAAAAATTTCCAAGATCATATGATATGGACGTTTTACTGAAAACAGTGAAGTGTTACACAGGAAATCCAGATTGACCCCTTGACGTTTAAAAATTTATACCTCAGGCCACAAATATCCAAATTGAGTCAATTCTACGGCCATATTTAGAAAACTCAAATAGGAACACAGAAATATTTTTAGAGTCTCAAATGGATACTTATAGAATTGGAAATATCATTTTGAAGTTGACCCCAAAACTGTTCCGTTTCTGCCTATTTCATCACTTGCAAGAAAAAAAACTGTAAAATGTCTCTTAACATAACATGAAAGATGTGATTACAAAATTTTCTTTTAATATCATATTACATCATGTCATGTACATGTTTTTATATAATACCATAAGAAAAACAGATGGAAAGCAGTCATCGAACAAAACATATAAAAGGAAACTTTTGATGCAAAACATCTTTGTCCTTAACCCATCATCACTTATGCCAGCTAACTTCCATCAACCCAACGATCATGGATCTGAAAATTTAGAATAGAATACTATGAGTATAAGGAATACTCAGTAAGATACCATGCTTGGATTTTATCATGTTAATATTATACAAAAAATGCAATCAAACACATATTTGCACCTTCCGGCTTGTCGGTGCCCTTCGGACTTGTCCTAAGGCATAAATAGATATCTAACTTTGTGGACTTGTCCATCATATGCATATTATGGCTTTTCATGCATAACTTAAGTATAAATATTACCATGAAATCATATCCCTTAAGCATGGAAAGTATCTTACCGTAAAACTTGAAAAAATTTCGATTGTACACATGTTTGGCCTATTGCATAAGTGTATGGTAATGATACATGACAAGTGGGTTGATTATAGGGTAATAAGTGGCTACAAATTCTAGATTTACAAAGGAAGTCTCTCATTTTCCAAATAATATAACCTAGTCCCTCTAACTTTCATTATTAGCAAAGTATATCCCAAATTTAAACTTGTATCCAACTTACATATTCAACAATTTTAGATTGTAAAATAAATCCCAACAAAGTAGTTTAATAATTTGGTCAATTGAAGTGCTAACAAAATAATCTACTTCATTTAAATCCAAATTTGACTTAAATTTCTACTAACTAATAATCACTTCATGCATACACAACATTTAGCACTTCATGCCTACATTCATTAGCTACCTCTAGCATTAACCACCACAAAAGTGGTGCCCCCTTTTTCTTATGGTCAAAAGAATATTGAAAGTTAAATCGTTATCGTAAAAGAAATTTAAACGAGCATAAAATTTCGGAGTATTATAGAAAAGAGCCAAAAATGACTAAAATTAAGCAAAGTGATAGTTCAGGACTAAGGATGCAAATATTCAAAGTTGAACTAAAAGGCAACCCAGAAATGCAAATATGCTAAGTATGAACTCGAAAGTGATACAAGATGATTGGAAGAAGAAAGAATTGTAAAGGGACTAAAATGAAGAAGAATGAAAGTTCAAGGACCAAAACAGACTTTTTACATAGTTGGTAGCACTATGCGGTCGCATAGAGGCCACCCGAGAATAATTTCTCAAATTTTTTTACTCCATGTGACCGCATAGAAATGTAATATGCGGTCACATAGAACAACTCCGGAGGCCAATTCTGCAATTTCCTTATACGACTGAAACTGTTTTGGTAACATAATTTCACGCGATATAAATACCAAAAGACATCCAGAGAGAGGTAGAACGTATTGGAGGCAGAAACAACATTTCTTGGAGAGGATTTTGAGCGCAAGAATGAAGATTTATACGAAGAGCTTCAAGATTTCTCAAGATCTCATAACTCAGTGATACCTTTTATCCAAAATATGATGTATTCTTTTATTTTAACCATGTTAGGCTAGATTTTCATGTGCTAGGAGATCGATGTACCATGTAATTTGATCTTTAATTTTCTAGTTTTGCAATTTGACATTAAGATATATTTCTATTGATTTGAATGATTTATATGCAATTATTTTTTCCGTAATTAAGGGCCCGTAATTGTGTGAGTTTGGGTGATTTATACTTGCATTCGAGAAAATTGGAATAGGTTCGACAAAATATAAATCATCGTCGGGTCCGATAGGGGATAGAAATATACCGCTATGCTTTACATGAATCTTTAAGTGTTCATAAAATCGCATGCATTTTTACATATGCACTTGTCATAGAAATATAGGCCGGTGGTGTGTAGAGATAGGGTCAATACATCTTAAGAGAAAGTATTGGATAGACTTAGGAACATTGATTCCTTACAATTGAAGTGTGTTGTCACATTGTGAAACTAGGGTTTTAAAGTGATAATTGCATGGGAAATCGTGATCCTAGTGTATTTAATTTTTATTGATTACAATAAACGTACGTTTTCAACATTTGATTTCATTCTAGAGTGTTAAAAAAAATATTGCTTTGCATATTTAATTTAAGTCAATCATAAAAATTGCATAATTAGGTTTTCTTTCCAAAATTAGGGTTTTAATTAGGTTCACATCCACTTTAGTAATTTAGTTTCGGTTAAGGCGACGATAGATAAAATTGAACTAATCAATATCTGTGAGACGATATTCGGACTCATTTAAGCCACTTTATTACTTGTTAACGAACCGTATACTTGCGGTAATTTTAAATCGAAAGAAATAATTTCGTGAACAGTGTCATTAATCATATTGGGACAAACTCCATGGTTGCAAATCTGCTTATTCAGGGATTGATACCAAAGGTCTTTCATGAGCACACTACTCAGATGGGTATAATGTCTCTTGAAAATATCTAGTTTCAGTGGAAATTTTTATTTTTGCTTTTCATATTGGATCCATATACTGTTATTTTGGATATATTTTATAGTTAAAGTTATTTTCAGTTATAAAGTTTTTGTTTATTATCTCTCAACTTGTTTGAAAATGATCTCACTAAGGTATTAAAGTGGACCAATTGGAAATAGGCATGTTACAAATTACATCACATGTAATTTCATGCTACACATCCATGCTTGATCCATGTCATTCAGTTATATTGATATATGTGACCATTAATGGGTTTAGTTAGATGAAAGTAGATAAGCCGTTTTGATCCTATGTTGATATAATTGATGGACCGGATTGTTTGAGGATGCATTCAGTAATGATAGCAAAATTTTAAATACTCATAAGGCTATGTTTAATACACAATCATAAGGTGACACATATAACCCAAGTGGTAGATTGTAAGGAATTTTTAAACGATCATATGGACTTATATGTGTAATTTATTGTATATTGAATTAAAAGCTATTAAATTTGGTTAAGCCCGTTTAAAAGTGATCTAATAAGATTTCATCATTTTGGGTTTTAATGCATCCAATTAAAGTGTAGGTCTTTATGTGTAGAGACTCAGCCCAAGTTTCTAATTCTACAGTGAGCCGAATTAGGTCAAATGGCGTTAATATATAAATATGGTTATGGCCCCATATCACGTGTGCATTGCTCATTCTATTCTGTCTCCCATCACCAGAGAGAATTAAGGGTTGCGTGTTTATTTGAAAGACAAAACCACAAGATTTAATTGTTGCAATTAACAATGTCTGATTTAGGTACGCTTCCTCTTTAGTTACATACTTTTGATTATCCAAACTGAAAGATCCTGTGATTATAGAGGTAACAATTCTCCTACATTGGGCAGAAACATTGCTAGTAATGAGAAAGGTGTTTGGTTCATATGTGTTGTGAATTACTGGCATGGGAGTAGTGCTGCTGGCTGTAGTCATGGTGGTGTTGGCTGAAGAATGAAGGCAGCAGCAATTAGTTAATAATTACGGAATATTAAAGGAAGAAAAAATCTTACCTTGCTTTTCATGTATCATCACTATTTATGCAAAATGATTGCAACAGATTTGCCTAAGCTGACTCCTAGTATTGCTGGAAATACAAAATTTGAATGATATAATGGAAAGATAACTGAAAAAGGTTGCAACGACATGAGAAAGCAGTGGAGATACGTGGACTGCTGCTGCTTCTCGTATGTGAGTAGCAAACGAATATCAAATAAATTGGAGTGATTCAACCGTCTACGTGAATTTATACCGCCAATAATGTTGTAAAAGGAATTAAATCGTATTAATTATGGTGAATCTGATGCTCTTAGCATTTAAATAAATTGAAGTTTCTGAGTCATCTCGTTACATTTTAAATTCAACCTTCAATAAATAGATTCTTCAAATAATTATGAGATTAGTTAATTTCGGTAATTAATAGATTAAAAGATAATAAGTGGTACCACATTGAAAATGCAGTTTCACCATTTATTAATTAATTTATGAAGTCTAAATTTTTTTGGCATCACGAACTAATTTATAATAGCAGAATTCACAACTAGCAGCAAATTAAGAGGCGAATGAAAAGGCCGCATCGATTATTAGCTATCAAAATGTTTCGCAACTTACAAATGCATCAAATTACAATATTACACCAAACCAAAGTCAGAAAAACGATTTAAACCCAAACATGCCAAGTACACTTTTCTTTTATTCAAGAAACCAACAAGTAAACTAGTAATCTTCTGGAGCCAAAGGCTGGTGATGTGTGTGGTGAGGGGTCTCCGCTTGTATCATTCCAAACTCGTATATAACTCCGGCCAGGGCCGCACCAAGCAACGGTCCCAACCAGTAGATCCAGTGGTCCCTCCACCTCCCCCCTACCAGTGCAGGCCCAAAAGCCCGAGCAGGGTTCATCGATGCTCCTGAGAAAGGCCCTCCAACCAGCACATTAGCCCCAAATATGAAGGCTATCGCAAGAGGTGCAATAGTTCCCAAACTTCCCCTCTTTGGATCAATCGCAGTCGCGTACACCGTATAGACCAGTCCAAATGTCAACACTATCTCCATCACCAAAGCGTTCCACTCTCCTACTCCAGCCGCCACGGAATATCCTTGCGGCTTCTGCGACCACAATCACCACATGCTTAAAAGTTACTTTCTTAAACGTATATAACATATATAGAACCACAAACTTCAAAAATTGAAATCAATCCGGTTACATATAAACACAAGTATGTGCTACGACATGCAAGTAACTAATTGAGCTAAGTGGGTTTTCTTTTTCTTAATTTGTTTACCAAACCATTAGTCGCTAGCCACAACAAGAGAGAAGCTACAACAGCACCCAAAATCTGAGCAATCCAATAGAAAATGGCACGTAGCACGGAGACTCTCCCACCAACAAGTGCACCAAAAGTGACAGCAGGATTAACGTGCCCGCCAGAGACGTTCATACTTGAAGCCACAGCGGCGAACAGAGCGAGGGCGTGGGCGAGGGCGATAACCAGCAGGCTCGATGCTCCTAAAGCTGTCTCCCTATACATCTTATCTGCAACATTAATACAAGTTGAGAACATAAAATTATGCATATTAGTTAGGACGTTTCTGAAGTACAAAATTACGTACCAAGGGCAAGGATGGAGCCCTCTCCGGCAAATACGAAGACGAGGGTCGACAGGAACTCAGCCAAGGTCGCCCTGGCAGAGTCGGGGTGAGTGGCTTCTTCTGCCCTACCAAAAGTGTACCCGCGAGGCATAGTTTTATTTATCTGGTTCTTTCTTACTCAATCAAGTTCAGCAAAAACCCTAATTAGCTAGCAAGAGAAAATCTTCATCAACTGAACTGATATCTTAGGTGAATGAAGAGTTAATGTAGATGAAGAAATAGGAGTGCATTATATTAGTCCAAATTTAGGGGACACTTGGACGATGGAGTGCAGGAATGATGCCACGTACGCCTATGCGTTGGCTTATTAGTGCAACACCGTTTCTTGCTTCCATTCGGCATAGGATTTTATCCATTTAAATTCTTGATACCAATCCACAAACGCTCATAATTATTTATAATTAATTTCAATTTGGTGAAATTCAGTTTGATTTTGAATTGGTTGGAAATTCAAATACAAATTTTAATTTACATTAAAATTAACAAATAATTTTAACCATATATTTTGTGGGATCTATACCTTTTTAACTACTCATTTAATTAATTTTTATCAAAATTCACTAAAAATTTGATTTTAATCCCGACAAATAGGAGCTAAAGTATTGTTATATGGCATGCTATCGTATTCTTACTTTACATCATAAAAATGTTAAAATAAAAGAAAAAACACATCCACTAGTTTTAGCATTTTAATTTAATGATATTGCTGTAATCCTAGTTTTATCATTTTCGTTGTGGAAGATCAGTAACAATACGGGCTGTCAACGAAGATATTTACATAAGTTTGGAAGACAATAAGTGATAGATCATGACAAAATGACGAAATTTAACACTAGAACGCAATGTTTTTGATACATAAAACTTGAACCATATCAAGACTTTCTTTTCATTTTCTTCTCTTTTTTCATTTTTTTCTTTTTCTTAATGCTATTCAACGCATGGTTAGTATTTTTAGGCCTCGTCTCAAAATGGAATGTAAAATCTAGCATTATCAGATCAAGATTTTTATTTTCTGTTTTTTGCACTATTACAGCTACTGGTAGTGTAAAAATCAACAACAAACCTTTTAAATTTGAACGGACTCTATGGTTTTCTATAAAATCCATTCCAATTATACTAAAAAAATAAAAATAAAAATAGGACACTACAACAAAAACAGCCTTTCGCAACATTCAAAAAAATGTCGCCAAAGACCTTTTACAACATTCGGATGTATGCTGCAAATCTCGTTGTTGTCGTAGAGTAGAAGGATACGACAACGTTTTTTGAACGTTGTGAATAATGTTTTTGCAGCTTTTTTTAATGTTGCGAATAGTCTTTTTGTGGCATTTTTTAAACGTTGCAAATAGTCTTTTTGCAGCATTTTTTGAACGTTGCCAATAACATTTTTGCAGCGTTTTTTGAATGTTGCTAATAACTTTTTTGCAGTGATGATTTCACATTCCTCTAAAAATTTAACATAAGGTTCTAGACGTTATTCTCCTATCCATCATATCTATAATAATATTCACCACCATGGTCAAATCTAACATGCTTTATTCTTTTACCGAGTTGGATTTCAACTTCAGCCTTATAATCCTTAAACATATCCAATGATTTAAATTTTTCATGAATGAGATATAGATAGCCATAGCGAGAATAATCGTCTATGAATGTAATAAATGACTATTGACCATTCAAGGAAACCAACGTTAATGTTTCCTAGATATCCATATGAATTAGTTCGAAGACGTTCGAAGTTCTATTGACACCTAATTTCGTTACTTTTGTTTTCCCTTAATACAATTAAGAGCTTAAGTCTAAAAAATGGAAGGGATCAATAATTCCTTCTAATGCAAGCTTTTCAATCCTCTTTCGAGAACTGTGAACTAAACGCTTGTGCCATGATGATGCAAAATTCTCATTGGTTAATTATATTTACTACCTCATGAATTTACATATAAGGTTTCATTATAAGAGACATTCAAATTAAACAAGTATAGATTATCACATCCAGATAAAGAACTGGTACCCACAAGATTTGAATCAAGAAAAGACTAAATTTATTATTTCCAAATAAACAAGAATAATCGAATTTGTCCAATAAAAAAATAGAAACCAAATTCCATCTAAAAGACGATACAAGAAAAATCTCTTTGAAATTCAAATAAAATTAAGTCTTTAATAATAATTGAAAGTCCGTATAGCTTCAACTTCAACTGATTTGCCATTGTCCACTGAATTTTTCAGCATCATTTAGCTTTCAGCTATTCAAACAACCTTGCATAGACACACTTTTATAAGTAGTGGAGCTAAATTAACCTCAAAACAAAACAAAGTGAAAAAGTACCTTTCTTTACACACCAAGCGTGGTTTTTGGTATAATCCATTTTCAGGTCAGCTGGGATTCCACAAAAGTAATAGCCAGATGATTCATCATTTTCAGGCTTTTACTGTTTCTTTTGAAATGGATTGGGTGTAGCTTTCTTATTGTTTCTTTTCTTGAACTTATCCTTAGAGATACTAACCAAGTGAGCACTTTCAATCCTGTCTTGCTTCGGCTTTTCTTCTTCTTGCACATGGTATGAAATGAGCTCGTTTAGAGTCCACTTCTCCTTTTGACAACTGACCTTGAATTGATTGTATTGTACAAGAAGAAAAATCAAAACCAAATGCATGAGCAAATCATTAGATAGTTCAAGCTTTAGTGCTTTCAGTTTTGAAGCAATATAAGACATCTCCGTGATGTAATCCCAAATATTTCCTTTACCTTTATACCTTAGTGAAACTAAGTTCCCAAGAATGTATTAGTTTCGGCCTTATCGCTTTTTACACAGCATTTTTCAATTTCATTAAGAAATTCCTTGACAATAGCTACCTCATCAAGCACAGCATCCCTAAATGATTCTGGAATATCAAGCTTCATGATCATAAGACTCATATGGTTTGAACAATCCCACTTATCAAAGTCCTTGTTTTTCATCAACAAAACTTTTATCTGTAAGTGCAGCGGGTTGCTTAGTCCTAATCACAAAGTCTAAGTCCGTGCAACCAAGAACGATCTAAACATTCTCTTTCCAACCCTTAAAGTTGGTTCCATTTAGCACAAGAATAGAGTTGATGTTGATGAATATTGTAGAAGTGGAAGAGTTAACTGAATAGAGAACAAATCAAAGAAATGTGTTCACATTAGAATACATATTAAACAATTAATAAATTCAAATAATGGTAAATCCCATTAGAAGATACCAAGCACAATATTGATATTTAATCTTTGGACAGAAATACTAACTTATAAGTGGTACTCTTGGCATAGCAATCAAATATCGACAATAAAATATGTCAAATAATAAACATATCTTTGAACCAATTTGTTGTTCACTTTATAATTGTCACATATTTATTACCACAAATGTGTATGTAATTCGGCCAAAGATTTACCTTCCTTTAGGTCGATGAATATCCACATGAATTACAAATACAACCCTCATAATATTCCAAATAAATCAATCTAGATAAGAGGGGTTACTTTGGTAACATATTGCTTCAATTAATTTAGTTTGAAAAATTAGTTATTCTAAAAGCAAATTTAATACCATGATTTGAATTTTAATTGCTAAAATTTTACCCTTTTTGAGAATTTAGGCTTTAAATTCAGATCCCAAAAATATCCTTTAACCTCAATGGTTTAACATAAATTGACTCTGATACTACTTGTTGAATATTTATGAATTTTAAAGTTTATAAGTATTTTCCCAATTGCCAAGATCTCCATGTCAAATCACCAAGAAAAATAATTAAAATGAAACATATCTTGATCCATTGATTTATATCAAGAATATTAAATCTTGAATTATAATCTTTGAATCTTGTCTTCCAAATCTTTATTCTTGATTATGGATTCTTGAATTATTCTTTTTAATTCTTGAATTCTTTTTTTATTAGGGGTTTTGGATCTTCATCTTCTATATGCCTTCTCTATTGATTCTTGTGTTTATGGAATGATAAAAAGAATGAAAAGTTACATATGAATTGGGAATCATAACCATATATATAGTTTTTATATATATTTCGCTCATCATGAAATACGATTCTAAAAGAATCGGACTCTACGCATATAATCTAACCCGCTTTAGGCTAATTACTTAATTCTTTATTAGATCACTTTAATTTTGAATTTAACTTTAAAATAATACTTATACAAAATTAATTCATATGTCGGCTCACGTGATAAATTAATACTTTCTCAACTTTGCACTTATTTCACTATTTGACAAATGTTGAACTCAGGCAACTGGTTTTGGCCATAATAGCAAGCAATTCATTATATATTATGCTGCTCAAATAGGGGCTCGGACACGTTACTGTGTCACTAGCTGATGTTGACATGACAGCTATTTATTTTGTGAGAAGAAAAAAGGGCTTGGAGTTAAAATTAGATATCATGCATTTTACCCACTGCAACGGCTATCGCTTCTGTTTTACCTTTTTGATTGATTTATCAATTGATCAATTTGAAGTTTTCTCCAATTGTTTTCTTTATGGATCAAGTCAAGGTTTGCGACTACAATGAAATGAGCATTGGGCGATGTAAAAAAATAAAAATTGTAGCGTGGCTGCTAGCAATAAAGGCGACGCCTCAACGCCGAAGTGCTGTCCGATTTTTTTTACCTTTCCTTTTTTTTTTCCCTTGAAACACAAAGTTATAAAATTATAAAATAATATTAAAAGGTAAGAATTAAGGACAATCAATTTCAAATATTGGTATTTATAATTTATTTTGGATTACTAATTTTCTAAAATAAATTAATTGAAACAATATGGTACTGAAATAAAACATCTTGTCTAAATTAAATGAAGGTTAATATTTGGTTAAATTATTTGCACACTAGTGATAATAAATATGTGACAAATATAAACCTTTTCATTATGTGAACATTGATAATCTATATTACTTAATACGGTTGATAACCTATATTACTTAATACGGTTGCCTCTTATAAAGAAACAATATATGTGAATTCGCATGTCATTAAACATAAATTAACTCATGCGAATTCCGGTTCGTTATGACTTAAATGTTTAGGTCACACATTAATTAAGTAGCCTGACTTATATGCTCCTCTTCCCTTGCTTTATTACACCGATTACTGCATTTCTTAAAAGCAAATGGAAAAACTTGTATCAAAAGGAATTCTTGATCTTCTTAATTTTTT